AAATTCAGTGTCTCAGAAAATGATAATATTACATAAGATCAATAAAAAAAAGGATATTTTAAACAGAAATGTCAGGCTTCTGAAAACTATGTTCATTTCTATGCACTCAATACTTGGTTGGGCCTCCTTTAGCATGAATCACTGCATCAATGCGGCGTGGCATGGAGGCAATCAGCCTGTGGCACTGCTCAGGTGTAATGGAAGCCCAGGTTGGGATACAGCACTCTGTGAACAACCAGCTTCTTTAGCAATTACATTTTGTGGCTTACCCTCCTTATGGAGGGTGTCAATGACTTCTGTCAATTCAGCAGTCTTCCCCATGATTGTGTAACCTACTGCCCCAGACTGAGAGACCATTTAAAGGCTCAGGAAACCTTTGCAGGTGTTTTGAGGTAATTAGCTGATTAGGGTGTGACAACATGACTTTCCAATATTGAACTTTTTCACAATATTCTAATTTTCTGAGACACTGAGTTTTGGGTTTTCACTATCTGTAAGCCATAATCATCAAAATTTCAAGAAATAAAGGCTTGAAATATTTCACTCTGTGTGTAATGAATCTATATAATATATGGGTTTCACTTTCTGAAATGAGTGACAAAAAATATTGACCTTTTTCATGATATTCAAATTTTTTGAGATGTACCTGTATATTTCTTTCAACTTTTCATGCTGCAGTGGTTCATCAATATGTGTGCATATTCACGCTTATCAAGACAATTCAGTCCCAAATGTAAATGTAACATATGTGAAAGAGCCTAAATATATATCGCGCAAAAAATATTTTAGAGACAAATCTAATTCACAGATGAAATAAATATCATGAGAATCATGCATAAAGCCTCAGTTGATACCTGTGTGAAAAAGGACCCAAACAATGTTTTTTTTAAATCTAAAAATTGTGTGTATTTCTGACACATTTCCAAAATCTGGTTCCTGTACTAATAACAATGCATTTTTCCTGATATTTTTTTAAGCATCACTTCCAAGTCAAAACAGACTTAAATGCATGCATGTTTACACAAGAGTCATATTATTAGGCTACAAAGCATTTATTTTATAGCATATCATAGGTCCCCTCCCATGCTGAGATCACATGACCATATTTTTTCTCATCATTAACCTCCATTATGTGACACAGGCTGTACCTTGTAACAGAGGGTTGCCAGATTGGACGGAGACTCCTCTCTCACAGCACGGATCTCAGCAGCAGGAACCAGAGCAAAAATATCCTGTGCTGTCAAGTTGACTTCAGTCCAGAACTGGTCCCAGAACACATCCTCAGAGGCCTCTACGGGCTACAAAATCACACAAGGGTCCATTTTAAAAAGTCAAGATTAAGAAAGCATAACCTTTCATAACAAATGCATTGAGATAAGATAGTGGCATCTTCGGTCTATAGACATCTTCCCCTGTATCTTCTTTCATTATTTGTCAAAACAATTTTTTATTTTTTTAAATTTTCTAACAAAATACAAAATATATTATTTTTCCTTTATTTATTTTTTAACATTCTTTGATACAGGAAAGGGTGTTGACAGAATTAATTAATGCAATTAATTAATGTAAATTCCTCATAAACAATGTTTTTACTGAGAACAATTAAAGCAGGTCAGCTTCAACTTAAATGCACGAATTTCTTTCATTATTTGTCAAAACATTTTTTTTTTTTTTAATTTTCTAACAAAATACAAAATATATTATTTTTCCTTTATTAATTTTTTAACATTCTTTGATACAGGAAAGGGTGTTGACAGAATTAATTAATGCGATTAATTAATGTAAATTCCTCATAAACACAATGTTTTTACTGAGAACAATTAAAGCAGGTCAGCTTCAACTTAAATGCACGAGCATCAGCCGTAAAACTCAATAAGAAAGGAGAAAAGCAGACTGAATGGAATTAAAACAAACAGCATGACTGATGACTGCACACAGCTGTCATGTTTTAAGTTTTTGATTCTCTCTAGTGCATAGGCTATATCTGAATGCTTTGACATTAAATGAGGAGTAAAAACTTAATTTAACATTAAAAGAAAGTTGAAATGGCCAAACGAGTGTATAAAGTTGAATATTATTAGATATTATAAGAAAAATGTTTTCCATCTGTTACACTTTAACAGCGCTTTGGAACATTTTTAACCCTACACAAATGCTTACAAAAGTCACATAAAATAAACCTGACCTGTGTTTTGGTAGTAAGTTGTATCACCGCTTTTCTGAAGTGCAGTTTGGAGTCTGAATTACCCATCTCACTCCGATCTGTCCACCGCGCACCTGTGTGTGGCGCAGGTGAAAACGACGCCGAATTGCCAATCCTACCACGGCAAAGGTTTAGCTCATGAATATTAATTACGCTGTACGGACGTTGACGTGAAATTCGCCAGCTCCCTTGGCACACGTTTCAATCGTCAGCCAATCAGATTGGCCGACTGAGCGAACATCACCTTATGAATATTCACGAGACAAGGCTTAAGTAGTAGCCATAGTAGAAATCGTTTGTTCGTGACCAGGATGCAAGCAAAGTCTTTTTTTTTCCGGGTGTGTAAAGTAAATGTTTGCTCAACGATTACTCTTTAAATGTTGAGTGCCTTAAGCATTCCGTGAATTAACGTTAAGCTGTTTCTTTAAAGGCGCGGCCAGCATTGAATACAGCGTTTCCTTTATTAGACTGCTCATTAGATACTTTGTGATTTAAGTATAGACATACAGTAAACACACAATAATATTTTCTCTGTCCCCAGTGGAAGTATATGTTTCTCTTGAAGGTGTTTAACATTTTTAGTGAAAAACCACCTGGTGTAACTGTGGATATTGTTTCCTGCACCATTATTTGAATGGTGCTTTTAAATACATAAAGTAAAATCTATACATTTGTTGTATTTTAGATACTGACAGCATAGTTATTGGATAGAACTGAAATGTGTATACTTTACTAGGAATGTAGAAATACCATTGGATGTTGCAAGGCAGAGTTTGTGTTTTCTTTATGTTTCATATGAAGCCTAACATTGCGTGGTTGCAAATGACAGATTTAGCTCATTCATTGCAATTTGGGGTTTTTAAGCTGAGACTCAGAAATGGTAATATGACTGTTTTTGCTTTGACATTTCAAAAATGGCAAAAGCAGCAACGTCAGATGACAATATTTGGCCAGTTATTACAAGCAAAATGTTTAAATGCATTTTCAAATCCATCATTTTTAAATCCAAAATTCATTCAGAAAAACATTGACATGCTTTACTTGGAACAGTCTTGTTTACATGTAATTTCGCATAACTGAAATAAACTCATGCATGCATGCTCATTTCATGCTATTCTTTTTAGTAACTGCTGGTGATGTTCATTCTTACTGTTAATTATTCTCCAAAACAGTTTGTATCTAATATCACCCAGCATTTCCTGTGTTTGGACATCATTTTGCAAAACACATTATAAACCAAGAAAGAAAAGCACATCTGATTACTGTAACATGTTACACCCCACACTGAGCAAGAGGAAAGATGATCCAACAAAAGCAGTCAGCATATTAAATTCAAGAGGCATCTTCAGATGCTTTCATATCATTTGCAGTGGTAAGTGGTGATTTTATTTATGTCTGTGTTACTGCATTGTTGCTTTTAAAGACCCCGTCTATGTTTGGAAAACAATACTATTCTTTTTCTGCAACATTAATATTTGAAAAATTATGTTTTATTTTTTTATGCATACAAATACCTGGATGACCTACTGACCCAACTGTTATGATTAATTTTACATAAATTTATGTCACATGTTATTTGTGCTCACACTTTATTTTTATTGATTGCAACATTTATTGGTGCACTTAACTTATTGTTAATGCATTTAATGTATTTTTTACTCTTTAAACTTTAACTCCTGTTGTTACAACCAAGGACAACCTTTTTTGACTGGCATAAAGAAGAGGTAATTAAAATATTGCAAACATGTAAATTACATTACATGATTATTTTTTTTTAATTAGCACTACTTTTCTTCCACAGACAAAGTTTGTCCTGCTAGTTGTGTGTCTGAACTCCTCATGTTTGGTTTTAAAATGGGAAAATGGAGAGGTATGTGTATTACTTAATATTGTGTTGAATTGTCTTTGTTTCTTTGACTACCAGCTGATTCAACAATGACAACTCTGGTCTTCATAGAAATGGTTGCTCACTAGCCTCCATCCACATACTCTGCATATTTAATATATCTGTTTTGTTCTAATGCATTGCAATATTTTTGTGCCATTGGAACAAGATATAATACATTTTTATATGCAAGACAGATTTGCTGTAAACATAACATTAAGTATAATTGATCAGTTATCAATTATGTTATTGAATTTTCTATATGTACATTTGTTGCTAAGAATCTCACAGGAATGTGATCCGTTTTTAGGTCAACATATACATATTGTTTTCATTATAATATCAGAGCAACCAGTACACAACAGAACTGCACAATGTAGTAAACTGATTGAATGGCAAGCAAACCATAGTTACACTCTTACATAATTTTAAAAGAAATTACAAACTGGTTTAAGTTATTGTTTAGAGATTACTTTTGGTTCCAGTAATGATCCACCCACATGTATTAATAAAGGCACTGTAAGATCGTGAGAGCTGCAGATCATCATCACTGT